GAAGGGACTTGAAAAGTCATCTACTGCACTTCTCCTTTATTTTTAGATGGATGAATTATCCTAGGGAGGCAGGGGGTCAATCATAAGAGCAGATGATCCCCACAGGAGAGAAACACTACATTTTTCAAAAAATCAAAGTTAGATTGAAAAAAAAAAACAATTCAAGTGAAGAAGCAGGATAGTATCTTAAAATTAAAAAAGAAAAAAAAATCAGAAAAAAAGTTTGAAAATTTCATCTAAAAAACTCAGAAACTCATGTGACCCAGGGTCCTGAATAGAACTCTTTGATTGCACCTCTACTGATGCCTCTCAGGAAGATATAATTTCACTGTGTTTACTATCCAGCAAGAGAATACATTTAGTTCGAATAGTGTTATAGTAAGTGTTTGCTACCTCCTCTGTTATTTATACCAAGTGTGGACTGGTGTTATTGCTAAAAGATTATTTAACCAAAGATTATGTCTCTTAAGCAATTGTGATGCAGTGAATATTCTCAAATTGATATTGTGGAGCGAAGACCTGTTGAATGCAATATCAGAAGTATCCACCAGATGGTGGTCTTGTTGAGCTACCCCGACTGCCCTTGTTACTCCGGTGGATGTGTGAGGGATCTTTTTCAAGAGGCTGTGCTATTTTCCCTTGCCTAAGAGAGGTTCCAGCCTTCATATGCCTAGGCAACTTCCTTTCATAACAAGCCCATGCTGCAGTGGCACTGAAGCAGCTTTGATTAACCCATCAGTAGCTGAATCTCAATTTAATCTAATAGATTAATCAAATTAATTAGCAAATTAATCAAAACATTAATATATTAACTCTTCTATCTATAGTTACCTCTTAGGGTTCATTCCATGAAATATTTCATTATCTAACGTCACTTCCCAATTCATTCATAGATTCAGCATGCTGTGATCACATAGGTTTTTAATAACTTGTAAATAAATGCAAATGAAATATATAAACTTGCTTCATAGTACCTACTCCCTCCAAGATCTTCCATATGGACAGGAAATGCTCCTAATCCATTCCAATCCATAGCACATAAAGGTAGGATTGAAGAGAGGATTCCATTCTCAATCCCCACCCCCAGGTCGTAGAGCCCTAGATCGAAACTAGAAAGGACCTTAGAGGTCATCTAGTCCAACCCCATTATTTCACAGATAAAGAAGCTGAGGTCCTCAAGAAGTAAAGTGACTTGCCTAACGTCATACAGTTAGCAATTGGCAGTGCCAGGATTCAAATTACAATCCTCTGGTTCCGGTGCTGTTTCTAGTATACCATGAAGTATATGATTTTAAACAAATGATGGGCAGGAGATTACTCACCTCCACAGTTCCCCAGTCACAGTAATTTTAGCAACCATAGTTTTCTTTGGCTCTAGGAGAAGTGGATCTGTGGACCCTGTCCTCTTGACTTGAGAGTGTTTCCTGACCAATCTGACTCACTGGCTCTCCATTCCCCTCATCACCTTGCTCTCATGGCATCAAAGTTTCTTGTGGTGGTATCTGTGCCTTTTCACGTGGTCACTTATCATCCTGACCAGTCTAGTTTTATCTGAATGTCTGAATGGAAAGGTCAAAGGAAGCAAGCAGAGGGTGCCAAGACATACCAATGACATCTCTTTTTTTTTTTTCCTGTTGCCTGTGTTTTTGCCAGAGATGACACTGGGGGCAGGCTAGTATGTCATCTTCCCTCTCTCCTAGACCTGGGGCAGTTACATTTCAGTGCTGGGTCTCACAAATTTGACTCCATTTTTCTCCCCTGTATAAGATTTTCTGAACCTCAGAGAAGAGAAAAATGCTGCAGAGGCATTGGGCTAAGTTAATATTGTCTTTCAGTTTATAGAGACAATCTGTACAGGCTGGCTCAGTTTGCAGTTCTGTCTGTCCAAAGCACTACCCAGGAACACTTGCTCCATCTCTTATTACCTGGTCTGCCATGTTGGTCTGCCAGGTGGTTTTCCAAAAGCCCCATTTAGACAGCGTCATTTGAAGTTATGTTTCAGAGTCCCCAAAGTCTTCTGCTCCTCACTTTGTTTACAGGCATTTTACTCTAGCGCATCCCCCAGCAACTGGCTAGGTCAAGGGGACATCTGTTAGTCTCATACTAAATGTATTAATCTTATACTAAATTGGTAAAGCCCTGAATTCTATAACCTATCTCCTTCATCCTGGTTCACCTCAGGAAAGCTTCAGTATGTTTTGTATAAAGGCAAATAATGTTATTTTTTTTTCCCCCTGAGGTTCCAAAACCTTCCATACACTTTTCATCAAGCTTTGAGATGGCTGTTTAGCCTGTCTTGGGCAAGTTGCTTCTAGGTCTTTAGTTAATAAAGTTGTAATTGGGGAAGGATAAATCACTATGAAATTTCATTAGGTGAAAGGTATTGGCTTCAATTTTAGATCTCTCCTCCACATTATAAATCTGAGAATACACTATCCACTGATGACAAGTACTTTGGAAACATAATCTTTGGTTAAATAATCTTTTAGCAACAATACTGGGTTGTACTTGAAATAAGTAACACAGGAGGGAAAAAGTACTCATTATAATGCCATTCACCCAATAATACCAAGATAAGATCCAAATTATTTCAGGGACTTAAATCATTTTTATCTAGCTCAGTAAAGGAGGGTAATTTAATTTCAAGAGATTGGATGCATTGATTGAGCTGTGGGTCCCTAAGGCATTTATTAGAAGAATGAAACCAGTGAAAAATAAATGTATTTTTCATCTTTAATTTCTGCACAGAGATTTATAGCTAATCATGGTAGAAATGATTTTTTAAAAAACCTAACATCTTTTCAAAAAGTTGACACCCACAGAAAATTCCAGGAAAAGATACAACAGGAACATGGACCAGAGGGTAGATCACCCACCTCTTGCCCAGGATTATGCTCTGTCTCATCTATTTTTAAATCCATAGTTTTTGTTGCTAAAGCAAATGACAGAACTTTATCCAGAACCTGTAAACATTTAAATCCCACAGCTTTTTGCGTATTAATTATAGTTATCATTATAGGACACATGGGCTTCATATAACTTATTCTTTCCCTCTAAATGAGAGAGCTCTTCTCCTCCTCCTCCACTTCCTACTTGATAGCTAAATAATGCTAGGCAGCACAGCAAAGTGGTTAGCTTGAAGTCAGGAAGACCTGAGGCATAAGTCTCATCACTGGCTCACACTAGCTGTGTGACCCTGGAGAAATCACTTAACCTCTCTGTGCCTGCATAACTCACTACTGTTATAAGTTGCAGAGCAGGTGCTGGTCTGAATTGCAAGGGGGAGTTTCTTCAGTGGACATTGATAGAGAAATTTTCTCACTGAAAGTTCCTCATACTAGCGAAATTACAAATCCAGTCCCTGCCCCTTCTCAAAAATAACCTATCTAATAACGTATTTTAAAATGCTGTGATTCCCTTATTATTCAGAATGATGACATGATGTAGGGGAAGGAGGGTCTTGCCTCTGACCATTTCAGTACTCTAGGGAACTATCTAAGACTATGAATTGCAGAGAAGATGCCAACTTGCAATGGTAGATTGTCGATCAATAAACATTTATTAAGCACTTACTATGTGCCAGGCACTGTGCTAGGCACTGAGAATACAAATGGAAAAAAAGAAAGACAGTCTCTATCCTCAAGGAACTTACCATGTAATGGGGGAAGACACACAAAAAGAAGCTAAAAAGGGGAGGGGAGATGCTGGGGAAGAAGATACCTAGCTCATGGGGCATGGTGTCGTCAGGTACTGACAGGAAATGAAGAGTTGGCTGGCCTGGGGGCCCTCATTACATGGAGACTTTGAAAGGAGTTCTTTGCTCTGCTCCCCAGTCAAACAGAGGGGTGGAGCATACTGGGGATACTAGAAACAGTTTACCATTATTACCTGGGCATGCTAGACACATTTTTGCTTTCTATTTTGAGACCTGGAAGGTAGAATATGTGCTCTGCCTTCTTTGGCCTTCAAACCACCTCAAGGAAAGAGGTGGACAGATCTGAGTATGAAGCCATAAATTACACTGGAAGGTGGGTGGCCTTGGCAAATAGAAGAGGGGGTAAGGAATCTCTTGTTTATTGACCTCAGAATCTTGAGTCAATTCTGTCAATGAACCATGGGCTGAAGAGGAGGGAGGGGTGCAATACATTTGGTGAGAGATACATAGGGGAATGGATTTGAACAGATAGAATGGTCTGAGGGAGCTGAGCTGGAGAAAACATAGGGTCTAAGAGATGACTTGGAGAAATAGAGAGTTCTAGATCAAAAGGCCCTAGAGCATAGCCTACGTAGGGGATGGGACCCAGATATTTCTTGAGGACACTAGAATGGAGAGGCCAGCTTCGTTGCTAATGTCAGGACTAGCCATTACAAATGGCTAGTGAATTCAATTAAGGCATGTCAACCAAGACCAAGACGATGGCTCAAAGATAAGGCTTCTGGCTTCCAAGGCCAGAAATTTTGAAATTGTCAAGAATGTACAGTAAGCTAGGATCAATACCAGAAGGCCAAAGCCTAATGAAGAACTCTTTAGAGCATATCCCTGGCAAGAGTTCAGTGAACCATAAAGGCAAGGTCAGAACCCCTTCGAGTGCATGGCTAGAGAGTTTAGAGTGAAGGAGGCAGCTAAGCTCCTTGTAGGCCCCTAGGAAGGACTCATTTCTAAAGGCAGAACACCAAAAGAGACATACCTGCTTCAGGCTTGGGGCTCTCACACCCGGAAATGTGGTTAGAGAAGCAGGCCTTAGCAGGATCTGCCAGGAGGATCACAGGAGGGCTGAAATACCTAACAGTTTTGCCAAGTTGAATGCTGTCAGCTAAAGACCTAGCATTTGATCTGGCCCAGCGAGGGCTGGGTTGACTGACCTCAGACAAGCCTGGAAAAAAGTGTGGTCAGGTAGGTAAAAGAGACAGAACTATTAAAGAAGAAGATGTAGGTCCCCGCACATTTGTAAACAGCATCAAGAATGATTATTAATATTTTGTAACTTCTCCCTTTACAGTTTTCCCTGTTGTGCTTGATAATAAAGACTTTAAAATTGCTCAAAAGAAGGGTGCTATTTTTAAGAAGTAGAACAAGAAGGAAAAGCCTGTTTCTCTTCCTCAGACAAGTAAGCCTTTTTCCTTTATTCATATGTATTATGATATGTGTATATATATGCATGAATATATGTATATATGACTATGTATATATTCATATAATTATATAAGAACATTTAATTTAATGTAACCTATTATTATATATACATGTATATGTATGTATGCATGTGTGTATATTTATGTATGTGTGTGTATGTTTATGCATGTATGTAGCTAGGTGGTGAAGCAGATAAGAGCTCCAGGCCTGGAGTCAAGATCTGAGTTCAAATCAGACAATTACTAGCTATGTGACTATGTGTTTTAACTCTGCTTGTCTCGGTTTCCTCATCTGTAAAATGAACTGGATAAGGAAATGGCCAAGCACTCCAATATTTTTGCCAAGAAAACCACACGTGGGGTCACAAAGAGTCGGACATGACTGAAACACCTGAGCAACAACAACATATATGTGTGTGTTCATGTGTCACACACCCATATGTGTATATATATCATATATGTATATGTGTGGCTATAGATGTGTGTATGTGTGTGCGTGTATGATTTCTAAGCTATAGGAACCCTCTTTTTTCCTATTCCTGTCCTATCTACCCATATGGTGGTCTAGCCGTCTATCCAGCTACATCTCTAATAGTTATTTCTCCAAACATATCCCTCAAAATCCATTCTATGTAGATGTATTGTCTGATACACCAAATGCAACCTGTTTATGACTTAGCAAATACGGCCTAAGGAATTGCCTGAGGAGTATAGAGGTTGAACCACATGCCCAGGATCCCTCAGTAGTAAAAGTCAGAAGCAGGATTTCATCACATGCTTTTCTGATTTCAGGCTCAGCACTTTATCTGCTATACAATACTACCTCTAGTTTGGAGGTTCTTTACCTTTTCTGCATTGTAAGCCTCTGGTAATTTGATGACACAAATGAACCCCTTCTCACAATAATATTTAAAAAATTAATAATTTAAAGAAATGCTAAATTTCAGTTAGAGGTTAGTGGAAGCAAAAACGTATTTTTTTTTCACAGACCCCCTGCAATCTATCCAGGGAGCCCAGAGGGCCTAGGGACCACCAGTTAAGGACCCCTTCTCTAGCTGTAGATGTGTTACACAAACACAATGGGGTGTGAGACCCTCTAGCCACAAAAAAGGATGAAGAGATCTTTGCAGCATATCAGAATATCAGGACAGAGTGGGCTACCAGATGTAAGGGCAGAGTCACCATGTACTGCCTCTATGTTCAGTACCATAGTGTTGGCAAATATCTGTAAAAGGGAGCATGGTTTTGGATGGGAATGAGAAGAAAAACAGCACCAGCAGGTATCTTACTCCAGTTGGCCTCTTGGAAAATGTCACCAACTATCTCATAAATATTCTTAAAAAAAACCCACCAGATATATGCATGCATGTATACATGTATACATGTGTATACACATATGTATACACATACACACAATACACATGTGTGTATATGTTTATATATATATATATATAAATATATATATATGAATGAAATGTTCACACTGCAAATTATCTAGTGGAGTTTGACTCTGGCTTATGCCATATTTATGTTTCTATCATGCAGATTGAGGGTGGAGTTTGGGTGAAGGGGATGGGTAGAATGATTTCTTTTTTAATTTTTTGGCAATTGGGGTTAAGTGACTTGCCCAAGGTCACAGAGCTAGTAAGCATCAAGTGTTTGGTCTGAGGCCGAATTTGAACTCAGGTCCTCCTGACTTCAGAGCCAGTGCTCTCTCCACTGTGCCACCTAGCTGCTCCTTGTAGAATGATTTCTTGATACTCAAAACCAAAAGTATAGGAGGGTACATCAATTGAGTCAGGCATAGAGTTCCATGTGGGCTGTCTTGGGCTCCACTGCCCCGTAGATCAACATTCTCAGTGGAGACTGGAGCTAGGAGTGGTTATGTGCCCATAGTTTACATAAGGTTTTCAGACACAGTCTGCCATGGCAGCTGGTGGATGAAGGGGTAGGGAAGCATAGTCCAGTAGCAAAAGGTAAGATATCTACACATTAACCAAGAAGGACTACTTAAGATGAGGAGGGTGGAATTATAACTGTCCTACATCATCAGGCTTTGTGGAGAGCTTCAGAAACTAATTCTAATTAGAATTGGGTGCAGTTTCAACCTGAAGCAGACTGGCTTTGTGTAACAGGCAATAACCCTCAGAGAATAGGACCTTAGACTCCTCTGGTTATTCAGCTTTGCTAGAAGGTGAGCTCAGGTGAGGGGAAGAATCCCAAGAGGGTTCCTTTTCCCCCTTCATATCTGAGTAATGAGCAATAGACCAAGTTTAGGGAGGAAGTAACTTATCTCTCCAAAGTTTTTATAAAAATGAGAAGACAAACAGTTTGATAAGTTGTAAAGCATGTGATGGACAGTGATACGAAGCGAATTTTCTGACAAGTTCCTAGATGCTCAAGACATTCCCTTGTGTGGTGCACACAGATGGTCTGAACTTATTAGGGTCTCTACTTTAAGAGGGTTGGATTTGGAGGTTGGATTCCTATCAGCTCAATGTGTTCTTGTATGCTGACTTCTTTACTCTCTACTTAGGTCATAGTGAGGAGAACTGTCTAACCACTAGAAAGCTGGTAGACAGATACATTTTAATTGGCTAACTTTTCACCCAGTGGGCCATGTTTTGTGAATTCTCTACCAGTAAGTACTTCTGTGCAAACTGGTATTTTGCAAGCTGCAGCAGTAGTCATGTAGTGTGAGACTAATATCGTCTATGGAGTCAATGAACAGATCGATGTCAGAAATCAACTTGGCCAATAGGTAGATTGTGTTTATCTGTCTACAGGCGAAGGAAGGTATGGAATTTGGGAATCAATGGGGCACTGTGCACCATAGATTGAGTTATCTATTGTCCAGTCCAAGGAGGGTTATACTGAAGAAGCTTATTTAGTCATTTTTTGGGAATATTACTTTATATTCATGTCTTTTGTTTTATGTTTTCATAAGTTCCCCCAATATCCTTCTTCTTTCAGAGAGCTGTAAAACATAATACAAAATATTTTAATAAGTAATAAATATACTTTTAGAAAATTAGATATAAGTTTATTATATTAATATCAACATAAATACTAACTATAATTAAATATATTTATATATTCATTTATAATATTTACCTAAATATAAATTTGTTATACAAACAACACATATGAGTTTATATCATATTTAAACATAATTTAATTAACTTAGTATAAAAAAGAAATATAATTTATTATAAAATTAAGATTGAACATAATTTATAAATATTAAACATAAATTTTAAAATTACATAAAACAAAAAATTTTAAAGAAAAAAGGAAAGAGGGAGAAGAGAAAAAAAAATCAGCACAATTGATTAATACATCCAAAAAATCTGAAACAAATGTGCAGCATTCCACATTTATGGCCCTCCTTGCAAAGGAATCTTTGCAAAGGAATGCATTGGGGGTACCTTCTCATATTGCGCTTCTATGGGATGCTATTTGTTTTTTGTTTGTTTTTGGTTGTTCCATCTGTTTACATTGTTACAACCATTATGCATGTTGTTTTCTTGGCTCTATGTTCTGCATCAGATTATATAAATATTTTCAAGTTTCTCTATATCATTTCTTGTAGCACAGTAATATATATATGTATATTATATATATACTTATATTATATATATACTTATATTATATATATATATATTTTTTGGGGGGCAAGGCAATTGGGGTTAAGTGACTTGCCCAGGGTCAAACAGCTGGTAAGTGTCAAGTATCTGGTCTGAGATCCAATTTGAACTGAGGTCCTCCTGACTTCAGGGCCAGTGCTCTATCTACTGCACCACTTAGCTGCCCCAGCACAGTAATATTCTATTAAATTCAAATATTGTAATTTGTTTAGCTATTCCCCAACTGTTTACAATTCTTTGCTACCATTAAAAAGTGCTACCTTAAATATTTTAGGGTTTATAAAGACTTTCTTCTTATCAATGAACTCCTGATACTAGTAGTAGAATCTCTGGGTCAAAGGGTATGGATATTTTAGTCACTTTGTTTCCATAACTCCAAAAACGATTGTACTGATTCATAGCTCCATCAACAATGTACTAGGGCATTTATGTACTACAGTGCCTATTCAACCACGGTGTGAGAGGTTTGGAGGAAATAAGAGTGGTGATGTTAATTGAAAAATGTCATTTGCACAAATGACTGAGGCACTTTGTTACTAGAGGAAAAAAAGCCAATGGTTTGAATAAAACAGGAATACATACACACACACACACACACACACACACACACACACACACACACGCACACACACATACCCTCCCCACCCTTTCCAGGGGAAAATAAAGAGATTTTGACCCTGAGTAGATAATTTCCCTGGAACAGGAAATCACCGGACTGCTCCTGAAGCAGCACCATCACTGTCTCCTGTTGTGATGTGTTATAGGACTCTGGCCAACAGCTCTCTGAGGAGTTTATTCTAGTTACTGTCAGCCTGACAAACTTGGCACAGGATAAAACAGTGGAGGTGTAAGTGTGGGAGTCTGACTCTTTACCAGAACTGCATGTAGGAACAGTGAAGAGTGTTTACAGCCCAGGGCCTCACCATTCTGGAATCTTCAAACAGCCCCAGAACTTTTAGCCAAAGCAATTTAGTTCTCTGGGTATAATTGGACAAAATCAGTCAGAATTTTTGGGATTTTTTTAAAGTATTGGCTTACATGCTATAAAGTATGAGGCTACAGCCTCCATGCCCTTGGTGTAAAAATTTTCATCCTCAGAAGTGCTAATGTTGAGTGAGATCTTAAACTATTTTAAAGATGGCCCCTTGAAGTCTATGGGGTAGAGAAGAAGCATATAACTAAGATTCAGGTATTATTATTATTGCTATTATTACATGCAAGTTCTCTAATCAGTTAACCAAAAAGTATGTATTATTGAGTGTGGTGCTGTTGTTCAGTGTTTTTCAATCATGTCTGAGTCTTTGTGACCTCATTTGGGGTTTTCTTGG